GCCCCTGAGTCCGGGGCCAGATCAGGACCTGGGCCAAGTGTCTGCATTAGCTCTTCCGGCTTCCCCACCTGTCCTGTCCTGGCTCCTACCGGCCTGCTCCACCCTCCCACCTGCCATCACCACCCGGAGAGAAGATGGGGACGGCAGAGTCTCACCTTGCTGTGCCGAAGTTCCAGCCGCCAACGGACAGCAGAGTTTTCAGCTCCGGGTTCCTATGAGATGGGAGAGGTCAGTGAGCAGCTGCATTCATTGGGGGAACAATGGGAAGCAGGGCTGGGAGGGAGGGGAAGAGATAAAGGCAGGAGGAGGGAAGGAGCACAGCAAGGCACAGGAAAGGGGAACAAAGGAGGAGAGAGGGGCGTAACCCACCCACAGGAACCCCCTTCTGGGCTCACAGCTTGGGGATTGCAGGTGTTTGTGAAGCATTTGGGATGAAACACTGTAACGGGATAAATTCCTGGAATCCTCCCACTGGCATTAAAGAAGGGGAGTTGAGGGCAGCCAAGCCAAGAAGAGCAAGAAGGACATTCGGACAGAGGCAACAGCCACAGCAAAGAAGAAGCTCAGGGTGTTATCAGCAGGGAGCCCCAACTCAGGGACCTTCTGGAGTCCTGCTTGAGGGGAGGCTCAGACCAGGAGAATGGAGGAAATAACAAAAGGCTTAATTCTTGCCCTTGCTCAAGTAGTTAGAGCATCAGCCCATACACTGAAGAGTCCTGGTTTTATAGGTTTGATCCCTGGCCCCGGTTGGGGCCCATGTGGGAAGCTACCAATCAATGTGTGTCTCTCTCATCGATGTTTCTCTCTCTCTCTCTCTCTCTCTCTCTCTCTCTCTCTCTCTCTCTCTCCCCTACCACTTTCCCTCCCTTCCACTCTCTCTAAAAAAAAAAAAAAAAAAGGGAGGAGGGGTGTCTTAATTCTCGTCCATCTGTAAAATCTGGAAGTATGACCACTGCGTCCCATATGAATCCACCTCTCCTTGAGCTTGTTGAACTCCGGGTAGAGGATTTTCTCATCCTGGAGGTCCTTTGCCACCATCTGATTGTCATTCATTGAGGCAAAGGCAAATATCAGGTGGGTGCAGAGAAAAGGGTCCAGGTCACTGGGCAAGACCGAGGCAGGGCTGGGTCGACTGAGTGCCCAGTTGGTGAAATAACACACCAGTTTGTGGGCAGCACCTGGCAAGGGAGAGCATACATTAGTCGACAAGAGACCGAGGGTGGGGAGGGGGCTCAGCTTCCACAGAGCATCGTGGACACAGCCCCAGAGGCCAGGCCACTGCAATCCCCCCACCCCCTTACACACACACAGACATACACCCCCAGCCACACGGAGCCCCCGCAGCTGCGGTCCCAGAAGGAAAAGAATGGCCTGGGAAATCCTGGTCAGAGCAGGTTTTCCGGTCTGGATCTCAGCACAGACAGGGACGCAAACAGATGCCTCTGCTGAACTGGATTGGGTCGGTGACCCTGCCATAGGACCAGGGCAGGGTGAGGACTCAGGGGACGTAACGCAGAGCACAACTCGGCCAGGGAATCGATCTGGCTCCGGAGAGAGGGACTCTGTCTCCTTACCATCCCGGTGTCTCAGCGCCAGAGCCAGCCCTGCGGCAAACAAAGGAAGGGATGACCCGCACAGTCAGTGCCCCCCCAGGGCTCAGGGCCCAGAGCCCAGAGGGAGAGACACACCCAGCTCGCCTCCAGCCCTGGAGAGCGGCCACTGGCCCAGCACCTCGCTGCCCATTTTCTTGTCTCTTGTCTCTAAGCTGAGTCAGTGGGGCCAGACCTATCTATTGTACCTCCTTCTCACTCTCTGAACACCCTGTAGCCACACACACACACGCTGGGCGCGGGGACAGCCAGGACTCTCAGAAGTCCCGGGAGAGCTCCAGGCCAGCGCCGCGCAGCCCTGCTGCCGATGGAAAAGCAGTGGCATCCGGGCCCCTCCGTACCAGGATCCTGATTTCACTGGTCCGAAGTGGAAACCAGCCATGAAGTGTTTACCGTGCAGCCAGGTTTGACAGCCACTCCCTCCTTGCTCCTCCCTGGGCCCCTCTGGCCTTTCACTGTGTCCCGTCCCCCTCCTCCAATCCAGGCCACCAGAGGCCCAGGCTGCCTGCTGGCCCCGGAGGGATGGCAGGTGGAGAAGGCCTGGTCCCTCCGGGATGCGGGACACACTCACCGACCCACAGCAGCAGCCTCCCCATGGCCAGGGTCTGGGAGCTGCGAGGCTAGAGCTCAGGCCCCTTTATAGGGGCGTCCCAGGGACAGCCGTGGGATAGCACCGGACGGCCCAGCTGCTCACGCACAAAACAGGGACAGTGATGGATGGATGGGCTGCCGCCCAGAGTCACAGCGACCCCAGCACTCCGGTCCTCCCTCTCCAGCTCTCAGAGCCAACAAAGCAAAGCTCCGTCAGACAGTGAACAAGGAGTGAGTTGGCACCATGAGCCAGGGGGAGGGCAGCCCTTCTTCCTGGCGTTCAGCCCCAGGGGCCGAGTGTGCCATCGGGGCACTCAGAAAGTATCTAATACAAGTGGTCTAATACAATGGTTTCTGCTCTTAAAGGGCTTCTAGTCTAGTGAACATCCCGAGAACTAGTGTGTCCTTCTTCCTCTCTTGGAGAAGTGAGTGTGTGTATGATCTCTTGCTGAAGTGTGTGTGTCTCTCATCTTTCTTGGATGGGTGCAATAAGAAAAACATGAGTTTTTTGTTGCCTTGAGATGAATTCCTGCTTGGCACCATCACTGGAGCCACTGGAATCCCACCTGTGCACTCATCCCATCCTCCATTCCTTAGGCTCGTGGTTGGCAAACTGCAGCTCACGAGCCACATGTGGCTCTTTGGCCCCTTGAGTGTGGCTCTTCCACAAAATACCACGGCCTGGGTGAGTCTATTTTGAAGAAGTAGCATTAGAAGAAGTTTAAAAAAATTTGACTCTCAAAAGGAATTTCAATCATTGTACTGTTGATATTTGGCTCTGTTGACTAATGAGTTTGTCGACCACTGCCTTGGGCCAATGCTAACCTCAGTCAGGAGATAATTAAGCCTCTGAGAGCAACTGTGGGTCAGGCTTGGCAACTGCACTGCTGGTTAGGTGACTCCTGGTGTGGCTTCTAATCTAGGGATCTTACCCTGAGTTGTTGCAGTTTCTAGCCCATGTGCCCTCATTCTTGTTACTAGGTCTCTGCTTTGATTTCTCTTCCTAATCTACATGCTGTGGGCCCTTCAGTTGTTTCCTAGGACATGGGTCCTCCCTCAGTCTTGCCAAGCTTCCAGGGCCTTGACTGTCTTTGAAGACCTCCTTGATGTAGAATGCCTACCCCTCTCTTCTTCTGAGCCTCCCCTCACCACCAGCACCTCTCCTCCCCTCCCCCAGCCCCAGGTTCCACATCACTGAGATTTCACACTCGGTTTATGCTCTCCTGCACAGCCTCCTGCCAGGGGCACTGGCTATTAATGCCGTCCCCATCACAGCACCCCGTCTGCCTATCTCAACCTCATTCACCTGCACCAGGGCCACTTCTTCGGGCTCCTGTTCTGTTGCAGTGGGCAAGGCTGGAAAGCAGACTTAACCATTTCATTCCCCCAGAAGGGACTGATAATGCCGAGGGAAATGCCAAGATACAATGGATTGCCAGGAATGACCTCTGCTTCATTCAGGGATGACTGTGCCAAAGAGTGGGAGACTATGCCCCTCGGTGTACAGCAGATGATGAATAGTAAGAAGCTGAATGGGTTATGCTGAAAAGCAGCGTGGCATGTTACTGTTTGTTCTCAATCTTTCTCCTCGAGTTCTTGTCAGAGAATACCACCATTGTTTTTCATCTTTACACACCCACGCAGTACTCCCTGCTGGGGCTTAGCCTGATCCCAGGAAACAGAAGACATCTACAGATCTTACAGGGGACTTGCTGAAGAATTCCCTACAACAGTGCAGCCCCTCCTGTGTAACACTGCTAGGTGAAGACAAGACCACAGAAGGAAGTGGTTTAGTTTTAACAAAGCATTTGACCAAACCTTTCATGAATTATCCCGAAAGAATTCGACAGGTACGACTTGAACAAGATCAGTTGGTTGATTGGTATAACTCGAGTGCTGGCTACAGATCAGTGTGAACATCAAAGAGCCTTACCACGTCCTTTAAATGAATGAAATAGACTATAGAGCACTTTCCAACATTTAATGTAAAATATGATTTTGGTTGTACATGGTTTACAATTTTTTAATGTTTAATGTGTATTATATTAGAAAATGTATAATGCCCCAAAAATATCATATAAAATTATTTTTAAAATTGAGGCAGTTAATAAAGCAGTAGAGGTCAATACTATGCCCAAACCCCAGGTAAAGGGTTTCCTACAGAAATGGGAAAGCTAACTTTGAAACTAGTTTATTTTTAAAAAAATATATTTTATTGATTTTTTAGAGAGGAAGGGAGATAGCTAGAAACGTCGGTGAGAGAGAAACATCGACCAGCTGCCTCCTGCACACCCCCTACTGCAACCAATGTACATGCCCTTGACTAGAATTATTTTTTATATATTAATATTTTTATTGATTTCAGAGAGGAAGATGAGAAACATTAATGAATCATTGATTGGCTGCCTCCTGAACGCCACCTACTGGGGATCAAGCCCACCACCCAGGCATGTGCCCTTGACTGGAATCAAACCCAGGACCCTTCAGTCCACCAGCTAGGGATTGACGTGAATCTTTACTTATAAAAAATGTGTCCATGTTCCTTCAAACTGCCCCAGTTCCATGCGATTTTTGCTAAGCTGAACTTGCAAGTACCAAAGTACATGATGATTATATTTCATTTCAATACGCTCAGTAACTGATTCATGATTTCTAACTGGCAGTAGCCGCCAGTCCAACCCCAGTCACCCAATGTTTAGCTGAAGATCCAACCAGCTGCTTTGGGGGCGTAGGACTGAGACCCTGAGAAGTGAAAAATGTGTAACTGCATGTACGACGCGTTGGAAAAGACAGGCCCACAAAGCCTAAACGTTTTATTTCATCAGCCAGGATCCACAGAAAGGGCCGAGGCAGGTCAGGCCCGGCAATTTTCAGTTAAGAAAGGTGGCAGCCTTTTCTCTGCAAGTCCCAAGTCCTTATGTCAGTTTTTAACTAACTGAATTGCCCGTAAGCTCTCCACCATCCCCATCCATGGCCTCTATGACAGAAAAACCCTCGTCTCTCACATACACAGCTCTGCGGGAGGCAGGGGGGAGGGGGCACTCCACAGGCACCAAACTTTATTCGGCCAGAAAATGGAGGTCGAACTCAGTTTAATGGCAAGATGTGCAAACTGGTGAGTGGCGTGGCTCTTCCTCCAGCTTAGCTGGCCTGGGCTTCTGTGAATGGAAGCACTGTCCATGTTAAAAGTGAAATAAGTTCTATAAAAAAAATGGAGCTGCTCCCATCTCTCTGAGTAGTTTAGGAGCTGCTTCTAGAACCCAGGAGTGTCCACATCTCATCCAGACTCAGCTGATTCCGCACCCACAACTTCATGGGGAGCATAAAAGCCTCATGACCTCTTTTTTAGGGGGTGGAGATGGTGGGCTTCGGATGGACTTTTTATCCTCCTCCCTCTCCTGACCAAAAAAACGACACACACACACACACACACACACTCAGACACACATACCTATCCGTTTCCCAGACAGTTTCTCTCCCCTATGACTATGGGATCCCAGAATCTGCCACCCCAGGCTGAGAGACACGCCTAGTGACTGCCCAGGTCTGGGGTATCCGCTGGCCTGGATTTGAAAAGGCTCCTGTGTGGTCTCCCAGACTGAGAGGGTACTCCTGGGGGGTGTGCTTTCTGCCTTAAACCCAGTCTACTTGGCAACACTGTTAGGCCCAGGGGCTGGGAGCGGCTCTGTGGACAGCAGGTGGTGGATGACCTGGTGGTCCCAGCCCACGGTGGTGAGGAGGGAGGGGTTGAGCGGAGACCAGGTAGCATCCCTCACAAAGTCTCTGTGGGCTCGGCTTCTGAACCTGGAAGGGGAAAGGAAAGTGTGAGCGTGGCAGGGACAGGCGGAGAGCACCCACCACCTCCAGGCACACTGCTGGGCTGAATCACACACACTCCGTCATAGGTATGACCCCAGAGGACCTCACGGAACCTTATTTCCATGGACGAAGAAACAGTGGCTAGAGCAAGAGCAGGGACCCGGGCCAAGCTCAGACCACAGTCATGGCCAAGAAGGAAGACAGACAGACCCTCCACCTGGTGCTCTTCTCCTGGTACCAGGCTCCAATTCACTAAGCGATCTTTGTGTGAAGAGGGCAGGCTGCCCTGGGAGATGGCATGCCAGTCTCAGAAACACCGCCCGCCACCACACTCCTCCCCCAGGGACAGAGCGGGCTGTGAAGCCGCTTCCCCCGCCTGGTCCCCCTGAGAGACAATGCACTTTCCTGAGAAGGAGAAGGACCGGCACCGCTGCTCCCCTCCCCGCTTCCCGCCCAGAGCTCCCCGTGCACTCACACGTTGGACAGGCTCGAGTCCAGCACAGCCAGGGAGCAGTCTTCGCTGACGGAGGCCAGCAGGGGAGCGCTAGGAGAGGGAGGAGAAGGGAAGGCCGTGGGTCCCAAGACAAACCCCGAAGGGCCAGCTCCCAACCCCAGTCCAAAGTGACGGGAGAAGGGGGCCTAATCCTCACGGTGGGTTAAGGTCTGGCTACCTCTCAAGTTGATATTGTAAATTCCAAGGAAAGATGAGGGAAATGGAAAAAATCCAGGGTGGACAATTGTCCTGGCAACTAACCACCCCATCTGGTCCCTCCCTGCAGCTCCAGCAATAACCCAGAAACACAGGATTCTCAACCCCGCTGTCCCAGAAGCCCGAGCAATTCATGGTGTTGGGTGCTAAGCTGGATGTCAGCCATTTGCGACAGGGACTGCACAGCCCAAAAAAGGACCCGTCTTAAGAGGCCGCCGACATTCTGAAACCTCAGCAGAGCCGGGTCTGCTTTAAGACACTTCCTATGCTCGGCTGACATAAGCAGGTCCGCTTGCTGGGCCCAGGTGACAGAGAACAGTACCTGTGCGGGGAGAACACCAGCCCGGTGACGCCCTGGGAGTGCACGGCGGAGCTGAGGACACAGCTGGCACTCTTGGTGTCCCCCAGGGAGACAGTGCCGTTCTCATCGCCTGCGGAGAAGCAAGAGCGCAGCACAGGGGTTAGGAGTGCGGGCGTTGGGAGCCAGCCAGACCTGGATTTGAATGCCAGTCCCACGATGTTTTGGACAAGTTAACCCCTCTTAGGATCAGTCTTCTCTTTTGTTAAGGAGGAATAAGTAGCCCTGGGGTGGCTGTGAAAATTAAACTGATGGATGATGTAGTTATCAGCTCAACCACAGACCCTGTCACCATAATAGCACGCCTATGCACAGGAGAACGAAATTCCCCCTATAGTAAGTCTTCACTTAACATCACTGATTGATTGTGATTGAAATGAAACAACATATAATGAAACCAAGTTGCATAGGCTCGGTGATATAAACAAGTTTTAAGTTCCCGTGGCATCTCATCGATGTTATGAAACGGTACTGAATGAAGCGACATTATCCAAGGATCTGCTGTGTCACGGTCCCCGAGCTTTGTGGCCCATTGACTTCTAGTCATAGCCAGGACACAAGAGCCAGAACAAACAGTCAGGACTCGAGTCCACGGGGGAGGAAACCACCAAGTCCAAAGCTGGACTAAAACCACGTCAGCACCATTCAGGGCGGCCAGGTGCGCGGAGGCAGAGCAGCCGGAGCCTTGTGCGTTATGGAGCTGGCACTCTCTCTCTCATCTCCCCTTTCTAGAGCCAACACGCAGTCCGAGGTGCTCCCTTACCCAAGACAAAGACTTGGCTCTGCTGAGGATGCCACGCTAGCGAGGTAGGGAGGTAGCCAGAGGCACTGCAGCCTGCAAAGGAGAGAAGAGGGTTCCGTATGAGGCCCGGCTCCGAGGAGATGCTTCTCAGGTGACGTCAGTCTAAGTCCCAGGAACTCTTCATTCCGACTCTCAAAGCCACCAAGGCAGCCGGTTCCTCATCCCTGACCCTCATAACTCCCCTTTACCCACCGCCTCCTGCCCTTTCTGGACACAAGTCGCAGGCGAGTTTCAAGCATAAACATGAAGATTTCAGCTCTGGCCCCCATGTTGACCCATCCAGGAACTGGAAAGAGAATCACCACCCAGGAACCAGCCCTTCCCCTGAGGTCAGCAGAGCCTCAGTGGGAAGGAGAGTGGTCATGTAGCTTATGTCACAGCAACTGGCCTCTGACAACTTTCCCTTTGACTCTGGCCAAGGAGAGCCTGTCCTGGTGGGTCCCAGTCCCTCTCTCCCACGGCGCTTTCTCAGGCTCACCCATCTGAGACGCTGGCTTGGGGCAGCGGGTATCCCAGAGTAAAATTCTACTGTCCTAGAAGCAGAGGAGAGAAAAGGCTTCAGGATCCAAAGCAGCAGCGGGGCCAGGAGGTCTCCACACAGACTTCGGCCTCCGGGCTGGAGTGCGGCTGGGGAGCGGGGAGGGAAGAGGCTCTGTCTCACCTCACCGCACGAAAGGAACACGGAGTCCTGGTGAGGAGAGGCAGCAACGCAGGTGACCTGCCCGGAGTGAGCTGTGCAGGAGGGAGGGAGAAATGTGAGAAGCGGAAGCCACTACTACCCAGCAGCCAGACCCTAGCAAGGGGCAGGAAGGAGGGGCAGAAGCAGGCCTAGGCTCAGGATGCAATGTGATAAATTTCACAAGAGATTTTGAATGAAATAAAACCTAATAGGAGATGTTGATGGAGTTACAAAACTTCAAAAGGGCTTGGGAAAAATTAATTAGCAAAGACAATGAGAGAGAAATTAGGGCTGGGTAGGAACAGTGAAAGATTTCATAGTGAACATTCTAGAAGAGTATTCTTCATACTGCACGACGCATACCTCACAGGAGTTCTGGACAAGGTTTTAAGGGAATAGATTTCCTGAATGTTCTCTTTCCTCCAAGTGAACGAGTAGCTGCCTGTAGTAGTCAGGCAGGAGAGCGAGGACCTGCTGCCCCTAACATTCAAGCAAAGTTCAAAAAAAGATAAAATAAAAATAAAACAGCTGCCCTAGCTGGTTTGGCTCAGTGGATAGAGCGTCGGGGACTGAAGGGTCCCAGGTTTGATTCTGGTCAAGGGTCATCTCCAGTAGGGGGCATGCAGGGGGCAGCTGATCAATGATTCTCGTAATTGATGTTTCTCTCTCTCCCTCCACCCTTCCTCTTAAGTCAATAAAAACATAAATAGATAGATAGATAGATAAATAGATAGATAGATAGATACAACGGCTAAGGCAGGACAGGAAAAAAAAGAAAGGGCACTCACCTCGGTATGAATTCAGTACCATCTGCTGAGTGAGGTCCCAGACCTTGATGCTAAGAAGCAAAAGGAAACAGATACTTCAGTGGATTACAAAATCTCCAGGGAAACCTTATAGGTATGCCATAATTAGTCACTGGGGTTTTACAATGAGTCTCAAACGTTATATAACATAATAAGGCTAATCAAATGGTGAAGACACCCAAAGGAGGCTTAGAGGCAGGAGTGCTGAGAACAAGGACCCACCAGAAGTCTTTGCTCCCGCTGACAGCCTGCGTGCCGGAGCGCAGGACACCGACTGTACACACTATGTCGTCGTGCTCGTACTTGCAGAACTTGCTGACAATGAGCGTCTCATTGTCGTCCAGCTCCCACAATTCCACAGCACCTGTCAGGGATGGGATGGAGGGTGAGGGAAACAAGCTTGAATGATACCAACCCAGCAGTTCGCTTCTAGGACTTAAGTAGTCCATTGTCACTACGCTAACAAAGTAAGTGATTTCGATAGAAGCAAAGTCCCTGTTGTTAGAGGGGTTCGCTATGTTCCAAGCCATTTGCCTTGATGCTGGTATTACTATTTTCCTAATAACAGTCCAAACAATTAGGTGGGGAAGGCTTCTAGGAAAAGATGAGCCAGCTGGTAAATTTCATCACCCCCTTTCCAGGGAGAAAATACTGGAAATTAAGTTCCTGGGAGAAAAGGGATGATAGCACCACAATCGTCTATGTACACACAGTCCAGTGTGGTTAAAGCTTCCCAATTATAATAAATACTAGTAGCCCTGCACACCAATCCGTGTACCAGTAGGTCACCGCCGCCCTTTTGTAGCTCCTCCAAGTCCCCTTCCCCCTCCCCTTCCCCCTCCCCTTCTCCCCTCCCCTCATAGCTTGCAGCCCTGCTCCCTCCTGTAGCTCCCCAGCCCAGTAGTTTGCTGCTCCACCCTCCTGCAGTTCTTTGGTTGGTCCTTATGCCTCAGGGCATGATGTATAATCAGCATATTCCTCTGATTATATAGGATGATTTGTTGAACGTTTTCAATAAATGTCTTGCAGTCTTTAAAAATACGTTGAATAAGCCGAAACCGGTTTGGCTCAGTGGATAGAGCATCAGCCTGCGGACTGAAAGGTCCCGGGTTCAATTCCGGTCAAGGGCATGTACCTGGGTTGCCGGCACATCCCCAGTAGGGGTTGCGCAAGAGGCAGCTGATCGAAGTCTCTCTCATCAATGTTTCTAACTCTCTATCCCTCTCTCTTCCTCTCTGTAAAAAATCAATAAATATATTTTAAAATAATAATAATAATAAATACATTGAATAAGTCAACGGCTTGCACAGTGACTGGTTAAGGACTGAAAACACCCCAAAAGTTGTCTTGAATATCTGTAGTGTTCAAGGGCCACTGCTAGAAGCTCAAATTTGAATTTCATGTGATGTCTGCCAACACGCCAATTCTGATCTTTTTAAAAAAAATAACAAAATCTCCACTACTGAGTCTGACATTCAAAACAAAGAAAGCAGAATAGAGACATTTCAGAAGAAAATGGGAAAAAATGGAAAGCGACACCAGAGATTGGCTTCAACGCTATCTCTAAGGCTAAGATTATCCTAGATCTGGATTGGGGGGTTATGGGGCAGGAGTTCTCCTTAGGGACCAACACCCTCAAGCTACCCCATACACCGAGTGTGGGGCATGAAAGATTGGACCTAGCCCGACCTGTGCCCCTTAGCCTTCATTGCACCTTTGGGGTTGAGGTTCAGAAAGTGACTCACCTGAATCGGAAGCCACTAGGATACCTCTGTCCCCGACCCAAGTGAGGTCAGCTACTCCGGCCTCCGTCTGGACTCCAGCGGAGCAGAAGCCTTCGTTGGGGGCGGCACAAGGGTCCTTGAAAAGCCAGAGGGAGCCAGCCCAGCAGCGGCCACTCAGGCTGGAAGCCCCGAGCAGGAGCGCCCCATCTAAGGGAGGGACATGCTGTCGGCGCGTGGGGGATGCAAGGGTTCGTCTCCATGGCGACAGCTCCGAAAACCACGCGGGCTGAGGCTGGACGTGAGCTCAGGACCGCGGGGCACGGCTGGGGACTGAGTTCAGGGAGGGATGGACAGGGCGGCAGGAGGGGCGGGGGCGGGCCAGAGGAACGGTCTCGGGAAGGGTCGCCCCGAGGGGAGGGGAGGGAGCCCCAGGCCCGGGATCTCGGCTCACCGGACCGGTACCGCGCAGCCTCCAACTGCCGCTCCATGCAGGCGGGTGCATTAGGGGGAAGGTTCCACTCGCGATCCTCCGGGGGCACGAGAGGGGGCGGGGTTTCCTTCCTCATCTCCACGGTTTCAACGCCAACCTGGACCCAAACGGGACGCCCGCGGGAGACTCCAGCTCCGACGGTCCCCACGTGGTACCCCGCTGGGCCTCCGCCCCTCTGGACTGGCTAGCGGCGCTCTACGTCTCGCGAGACTTGCTTCTTACGGCTCCACTCCGCTTTCCAGCCGCCGCCCTCCCTCCGCGACTGGTACTCCGCGCAGCGTGCCTCTTCTCGCGAGAATAAAGAACCTTGAGCGGAAGTTGAGGGAACGGAGGTTCGCGTTCTCTTCTCGCGAGACTTGCGGGCGGCCATCTTGCTCGGACTCGGATAGAACCCTTCGCCCAGGTCACCGGGACGCCGAGACCGCGCAGCCTGCCCTCGCCGACCATGCTGTCCCGGGTGGTGTTTTCTGCAGCCGCCGCCGCGGGTGAGAGGTGTAGAGCCGGTTGGGGCTGCCAGAGTGACTGTAGAGAAGCGCGTCTAGGGTTTTTCGTATGCGGAGCGGGCGGGAGGAAAGGGGCGGAAGGAACGCTAGCGAGCCTTGGGCCTGAGCGGGGAGTGACCTGCGCCGCGCGGGAGGTGAGCGTGAGGTCTCGGGGGGCAGGAAAGAGAGGCGAGTGGCCTTCGAGGCCGGGCCTCGCGGGGACCGAGGGAGGGACAGAGTAAGTGTCACCTTGAGCTTGCTGACCTGCGCCGTGTGTATTTGCAGCGCCCTCTCTGAGGAACGCCGCCCTCCTCGGTCCAGGGTAAGTGAGAGGGGCCGAATACTACCCCCCTTCGCCCTTGTTTTATCCTCGCATCGCGCTTCTCTGTGACCTCCTAGCTTTGGGCCAGAAATTATCTTTTTTAAAAATAAAAATAAAAAGTGATTTTGGGACGCGTAGTCTCCTTCAAACACTTGGGCTTCTGCACCACCTAGAATATCGTCGTCGTATCACAGAAGGGCAAAGTTGAAGGGTTTAGGGGATGTGTTCTAACTAAACTGTAGACTGGTTTGATGTCTCCCAAGCCCCGCCCCTCTCCCTGGTGACCTTCAGCTAGCCATAGCCATAGCTGCCACACTGCGAATCGGAGGTCCTGGCATCGGCATTTTTGCAGACCCAAGAACAAGTTTTTGCTCTGTTTTTAATTCAGTGCGTGGGGGTGACATTGGTTAATAACATTGAGTCTCAGTGTTATTAACCAACAGTTCCATAACACATCTCCTGTATATTGCATTGTGCGCTCACCACCCAAAGTCTAGTCTCCTTCCCTCCCCGAATATTTGACCCCCTTTACCCTCTTCAGACTTCCCCCAGCCCTTTTCTGGTCACACTGTTGTCTGTGTCCATGCGTTTATTTGTTTTGTCTGTTGCTCTATGTTTCATATCCCACACATGAGTGAACAGGCTCTTTAAAATAAAAATGAAGCCGGGACCGGTTTGGCTCAGTGGATAGAGCATCGGCTTGGGGACTGAAAGGTTCCGGGTTCGATTCCGGTCAAGGGCATGTACCTTGGTTGCGGGCACATCCCCAGTAGGGGGTGTGCAAAAGGCAGCTGATCGATGACTCTGTCGTCGATGTTTCTGACTCTCTTATCTCTGTCCCTTCCTCTCCGTACAAAATCAATAAAATAAAAATGAAGCCAGTTGGCTTGCAGTCTGCCTCCCAGATTCGGACTTTTGCTGCCAGGTGAGAAGAGTTAGCGATGGATTCAGTAGCTGTTTGTTTACCACCCAGAGAGCCAGAGAGAGAAAATGAGGACGGCTTTATGGAGCTCAGTCCAGAGAGGAGGTTCCTGTAGAGCAGTGGTTCAGAGCGGCGATTTTCAACCTGCGTGCCACAAGGAGTTTACAGCAGAAGGCTGGTTGGGTTTGGCAGTTAATCAGCGAAAGGCATACCAGGCAGAAGGAGCAGCATGCGCATGTTTTTGGTTTTTGTTTGTTTTTGAGAGCTGAGAGCTTCTTTATGACTAGAGGATAGAAGAATGAAGGAAGGAAGGTGAGGGTCTAAAATTTGACAGGTGCTCGATCATATGTGCTATATTAAGTAGTTTGGGTTTTTTTGTAGGCTTTACGTAAAATTTGCATTTTATAGATATTGGCAGCAGTGTGCCAGGGGCTAGGATAAGGGGTATTTGACCAGAAGAAGACAGACCGGGTTTTGGATTATTAAATCAAGCAGGAGATGAGGGGAGGATTTGTGTCCAATTCTCCAGCGCTGTGATTAAAAGCGGTGGTCCTCGGCCTGGGCCAGTGCTGGGACATTTGGAGGGGGGATGCTACACCAGATCCTTCTAGTGTGTACAGACCACAGGGCACAGAACAGTCTGTCACCCCAAAGTATTGTCAGCAGTCCCAACTGTCGTAGTGCTAAGGTTGAGAAACCCTGATTTAAATGAGAGAATCTTGAGCATGATTCTCAGATTTCAAAAGTTGGTGGGGTGTTGAAATTAAAAGAAAATAACCATAGAGTGTAAACTGTAATTCAAAAAGATAAAAAACAGTAATGTTAAAAAGACAAGCAGTGAACCGAAATCAAAGAAATAATATAAACTCTTACATTGCAAGGGGATAGAGGTTCAGAGAGTTGGAAGGGGGGCAAAAACATAGAGTATTTGAAGAAGACTGCTTGACAGCTAATAGGAAAACGACTAATGGATTTTATTTATTTCATCTGAAACCTAATGAGCCACCAATTTGCTATAACTGCTAAAAATGGAATCTTCGGCTACTTCAGTACAAGAATAATTTGCAACAAAATCAGCGAGTTCCTTGTGGTGTACAGTCAGGATTGTGTGGGGAGTGAGATGTTTAACCCAGATGCACTAGTAGGAGCGTTATCCTCATACAGAGAAAAATAAAACCAGAACCAATGAAACGAGGTTTCAAGACATACATAGCCGTTCAATTCAAAGATGAACATAATTAGAGCTTTCCTGTTTCACATAGTGCTGGTCAGCACCCATCCCAGAGAATATTCAAATAGGTCAAAGCTCTTACCATCAGGGAGCTCATAACACAGTAGACATGTAATAGCCACTTACATAGGACTCTAACACATGCCAAGTACCATTCTAAGCAGGTTTAGGATTTGAACCCAAATAGTTAGCCTTCGGTCTATGTTCTTTTATATTTCCATGCTGATAATAGATGACTGATGAGGCTTACAGAAGGGATTCTAGTTTGGGGTAGACGATTAGATATGACTTTATGTAAGCCATTTGTCCTTTTCACACAGCTAATCATTAACCCTAACCTTCCTGTTCTTGGTCTGTTCTTTCTGTTATGACCTTTCTGTTCTTGGTCTCTCTCTTGCCTCAGTCCTTATCCCCATTCATTGTTTCTACTAACTTCATACACTGAATAGACTTTAAATGTGTGTAATTGCTACCTTAGGGCATTGCAAGCAACAAGGATCTTTCACACTGGGCAGCCAAGTCTTGCCCCACTACCACCTCTTCCTGAACATGGAGGAAAAGTTCGTCTTGGACTGATCCCTGAGGAATTCTTCCAGTTTCTTTACCCTAAAACCGGAGTAACAGGTGAGCATTTGCCCAGTATTGATAGCATGTTTGGATTGTGTGATTTATGTTAATGTGGGATTTGGGCAGCCTCTTACCTCTTCACGTACACCACAAAAATCAAGCCAGTTGTTTTAAATGTACTTGTGGAAGTGATTCATAATAACAGTTTAGTTGCTCTAACTTATCTTTGGAATAAATTTGTTTGGGGTTTTAATTTGACTTTTAACATTGTTTCCATTTGTTGATATACTAAATTTATTGAATGCCTGCTCTATGCCAGGCACTGGTCTAGGCATGCAGTGGTGTGTCATCACAGAACGTACATTCTATTGTAGGATACACAATAAAGAAACAAGTAATTGTAATATACTATCTAATAGAAATAGCTGTGAATTAGAATAAGGTCAGGTAAGGCAGTAGAATGTATTAAATTGTATATATAAGTATGAAAACAGAAAGTGGGCTGTGTTTATGTTTTTCCCCTTTCAAAAAAGCATAAAATGTTGTAAAACATTGCATTTTTATAATGCAACTAGAGGCCTGGTGCATGGATTTGTGCACTGCTGGGGTCCCTCAGCCTGTTCTGCACGCTTGTAACCTGGGACCCCTCTGGGGATGTCGGATGGTCCAAAAACGTTCGTTAAGCAGCTGTGCTAGGCACTTTATTTTTTTCTTTAACGCTTTTATTGATTTTATAGAGAGGGGAGAGGGAGAAAGGGATAGAAATATCAGTGAGAGAAACATCGATTGGCTGCCTCCTGCACACCCCCTAGTAGGAGTTGAGCCCACAACGTGGGCATGTGCCTTGACCAGGAATCAAATGTGCCTGGGATATCACTCAACTATTGAGCCACACCAGCCGGGCTGTGCTATGCACTTTACATACATTATTTTTAATTTCATCAACCCTGTGAAGAAGGTACTGTTTCCATTTTACAGATGCAGAATCTAAGCTTAGAAATTACTTACATTCCCCAGTTTCTCATAAGTTGTAGAGTCAGATTTCTTTGAATTCAGATCCTTGTTCTCTCAACTCTACCATAATGCTTCTCAATCCAGTGTTCTTTGAGTCCAATTATTTTAATCATTATTTGGCCTTCAACTAATTAAATGCAGAATTATCTTTCTATCTTACTCATCATAAAATAACTTTTTCCTTCTTTCAGGACCCTATGTGCTCGGAACTGGGCTTATCTTATATTTTCTATCCAAAGAAATCTATGTGGTTACTCCAGACACCATCTCTGCTGTATCAACAATAGGGTTGCTTGTCTATATCATTAAAAAATACGGTGCCTCTATTGGGGAATTTGCTGATAAACTCAATGAGGTAAGAACCAATAAACCTTATTTCCCATTGAGACCATAGTAGAAGTATCAAGGCCATCAAGTGATGTTTTTGATATGGATATATATATATATATATATATATATATATATATATATATATATATCTGTGTATATATATTCAGTATAATTAAAAATCTAATTATAATGAGTACAATTACAGGTGTTTATATGCTACTAATTTGAGATCAGAAATCAGAAATTTTTAGAAATCTACCAAACTTTCTCCAGCTTTTCCATGGTTTTGTTCATTCAACAGATATTGTGTAGCTGTCATGGGCAATTCTTTTCAAGGATTTGTGCATTTCTCCCTATATGT